ACTTATAGCTTGATACTCTGTAGTTTAGGTCTGACTAGGTGACTGGTTTGAACATAGAACTTTGCACCGATGTGCATCAGTTCAAGTCGCTACACACTTCAATCAGCACACAAAGCAAGAAAAGAAATTAAAAAGAAATGCAAAATAGAGACAGTAAACAGAGATATGAGACAAAAAAGATTAGTAATAACGAAGGACAATATAGCTTCATTGGGTATAAGTCACAAAGAGTGGATGCATCTGAGCTATTGACAACAACTTTGAGTCATATCACCAGTTCTCTCCAGCCATTGGTGTTTACCGTCCTGAGAACCCCAACGTGGAAGTCTACACGTCCCGAGGTGACTGGCTTAAACCACTGTTGTGTATTTCATTGACTGATAAAGTCATATTTTCGTTTGACCACCACTAGGTAACCCTTTGCCAACCTGACCCTATGCAGTTAACATTCCTTGTCGTCGAGGAAAGTGATGGCTAGGCATGCGTAAAACATGTCCTAACCAACTATTAGTCATTACTAATTTATTTTGTAGCAAGTTAGAATACTGTTATCATTTGTAGGTGGATTCGGAAATCTCCTTGATATATTAATGTATGTATAGTTGTACATGGATACATTTAGAGCAGTATTTATTTCTACTTGTTATGGGTAGTAATCATGCACAAATTGAACTCATCTTACTTATTTTATTATTATTATTATGAGTTGATATCGAATATAATAAATAGGTAAATACTATTTTCTATTGTTAGCATACTTAAAATACTGAATTCTTTTAGAATAAGTTATATTTTGATAAATCCTTTCTCCTTTCTTTCTCATTTCTTTCTTTTTTAATAACTAAATTGTTTTAATATGACAATTTGTCATGACTTTAAATTAAATAACTCTTCATTCATTCATTCACTTATTTATTCAGTCATTCTTTATTTTTACTATACTATACTATAACTACGCTATGCATTGTGTTTAAATCGATTCACATACCTCTTTCTTTTCAAACAAAAAATCAATAAATTTAAGTTATCAATAAGGTTAACTATCAATAAGTTTGGATACGCATATAATATAGTATAATGATAGTAGCTTTTTGATAATCAACATGTATTTCCATCGTATAATATTTGTGAAAAAGAGAGGAAAAGTTGTGGAGAAATAAAAGATGTCTTTTCTTATTTAAATGATTATTATAACACTGGTTTATGAAACTCTTTATATTGTGTAATACACCAACTACTATGAACTGCCAAAAAGCTGTCAACCTTTAAAAGTGTGTGACAATAAAGTCAACTATCTATCTCATTGTCAAAATTGCATTCTGTGAAAAAAAGACAATACATTTTTATGCTGTAGATTTAGAAGGGAAAAAGGTGTCAGACTTATATAGTAGTGGTATACGATTATATATTTGGCAGTAATTAGTAAAGTATCATAGTTAATGTCAAGGTCTGTTGAAAGATAGTCAGCCCGTAGCAACTACATGCAATTACAAATAACCATACAATAGGATGGGATAAGATGACCGTTGTAAAATCTAATATAACAGCAGGGTGGAGGGAGAGATTAATAATGGAAGTTTTGTTTATCGAATCAACTGCAAATACATGCAATAAGAATGATTCAACACTTGTCCCAGATATCTGAAAATTTTACTACCCCAACGACGACACATAGGAGAAGACAAAGGAAACTATAAAACTCAAGTTTCAAAGTCGTGTGATTACAATTGATATGATTATGACAATAAATTTTTTCGAAACGCTGTTACCAGTAAATAATACTGTTTCACTGTGTGATACATCTAATAAACAAACTAATGTGGAATTACTTACTACCAAAGTGACCAAGCTTTACACATATATTAATTATCCAGTCTAGATGTTTATAATAGTATTAATTCTATCACAATAGCACCAGTTTGTATGTTAATATGTATTTTGAAGAATATTATTCATCTAGTAATAATGTTAACAGAATATCACCCACAGAAATTATGGTGGCTTAATGGTCTACGAGCTTGCTCGCTTTGTAACCACAAGGTCCTGGGTTCTACCCCTGGCTGTGGGTGCGTACTAATAAAGAGTCCCAAACTAGGACGAATCAACTGTCCAGTACTCCCAGGTTTTCTATTGTTTCTCTAACCGATGTCATCCCATGATGAGATCCTTTACCCAAATGAAACAAAATCCCTACAAACCAATACTTGAAAAATGATCATATATTTGTTGAAAATGATACTGATTTGTTGTGACAATGTTCATGTGTTTGTATGTATTTAACCTTAAAGGCTAATTGTAAATAATAATAATAATATTGTAGAGGAGCATTCGGCTGATGAGTCCTTCTAACGAGATTTATGAATGGATTGGATACTGCTGTTTTCCACAGTTAGTGCTTGTTTTAAGTTTACCACGGGAAAGAAATATTTTCAATGAATTTTATCGTTAGATTTTTGCTTTGTTATGAATACAATTCAGCTAAATGGTTTCCAATTAAATTATTAGTCTGAAAAATAAATATCACTGTATATCCAGTCGAGGGTCAGTCTTTAAAAAGGTACGGAAAAACAAACAGATTTTAAAACACTTAGTTCCCTTTATGAATTTAAACAAAGCAATAAGACGACGTAATTTGTCTAAATCGTGTAATATATTTGCGCAACACACACATAGACTTGTCATAGGAATAGATATATGAAATTAATAGAGTTAAGAGGTGATAAAATAGACTTAGGTCAAGTTAAAAGGACATATTCAAACTCAAAATACCAATGAAGATCACTTAACCAAATAAGAGAGGTAATAGTACATCTACCCTGGCTGGTATAAAAATAAAGTTAACCAAGGAAGGTTTAGTGTGATGATAAATTATTGCTTTGAACGCATAAAGGTGGTTTAAACTTCCCAAAACTTCCTATGGCTTCCACAAACTTTAAGATACGCCCCAAATACTTCCTACAGACAGCTTTAAAAGGCATGTAAACATCAATTTTATCTCTTATCTCGCAATAGAGGAGCTAGGTGTCCTGTTCTCATTATTAATGGGTTTTGGGGATACTATTTACTTCTGAAGTAGCCGTTTCGGAATATTCTCTGAAGCCGTTACTTCCAGATATCGGTGAGTCCTTCTTATGTATGTGTGGCCACACATAAATTCAAACAGATTTAAAAATTTCATATATTTACAATGAACTTATATAAGTAGTCAATGGATGGATTTCTACTGTCGATATATGGATGGTACATTTCTGGTCATAAAAAACGAGGACGACGTAATGAACATCCTTGACAAGTTTAATGATGCCCATTCAGCAATAAACTTTACTATAGAGAAAGAAAGTAATGACTGTATCTCATTCCTAGACGTCTTCATGGCAAGGAAAGAAGATGGCACACTAAGAAGAAGTGTGCACAGGAAACCTACTACAACAGGACAGTACACTCATTTTTTGAGTTTTGTACCTTTGAAATATAAACGCAACCTGGTAAAGTGTCTGGTTCATAGAGCTAGGTTAATCTGTTCAGACGACTGCTTCAATGAGGAGCTTAAGATTATTAGAGAATTACTTAGAAAAAATGGTTATCCAGATAAGTTTATTGAGAAAAATATGAATTCATCACCTAGGACAGTGACTATGGCAACAGTTCCGAAAAAACCACTGTTCATAAAACTTCAGTTCCTCGGCGACAACATCAGCGAAATAATAACACAACGACTGAAGAATGCAGTTAAAAGAGCTTATTATGCAGCAGAGGTACACTGTCTCTTCACAACCACACCTATCCTACGTTCGAGTAATAAGGATAAACTACCTAAATTCGCCTCTTCTATGTGTATCTACCAGTTTGACTGCAGCTGCGGAGCCAGCTACATCGGGCGAACAATTAGGCAGGTTCATCATCGTATTTCCGAACATCATCCGGCATGGTTAAGCAAGGGACAAACAAAATCTATTCGTAGCTCTATTTTAGCCCACCTTGTAGATAGTGAGCATAAGGTTGATGTTAATACTGCATTTAAAATTATTTATCGCATTCCTACTAATCTTAATTTTGCTTTACGAGTTCGTCTTCTACATACAGCTGAAGCAATAGGAATCCACCTGAAGAAGCCAAACTTGTGTGTTCAGAAAAAATTTGTACAGCCACTTTCCTTACCTTGGCCATCGTTACATGACTGTATAAACCGGACTACTCCATCACCCTCCCCCTAGAATAATTTTTCTTTTTAAAAACTATAATTGTCCAAATTATTTTATTTTTCTGACTACTTCATCTTTAATTACGTGTTATCCTTGTAAAAATTATTTTATTCTTATGACCACTTCAACTTTAGTTACAAATTATCATTGTCCAAATTGTTGTATTTTCTTTAACAATCTGTTACGTAATCAACTTGTGCACACGCTTATTCCTTAATTGCTCTTCATTTTTCCAAAATTATGCATTATGCAATCCACGTGTTGTAACCATTTCCACCTTTTAATTATATATATTAATTTTTCTTCGTTAATTATCACCCCATTGACATTTTGACACCGACTAATTATTGTTAACAAACATATCGCCACTTGATTGGTAAATTGTTGTGTATTGTAATTAAAACGCTATATATATATTAGTAGAGCCAGATATGAGGATCTAATTGAAAAGTAAATATTTCTTCGCTCAATCTTTCTCTTATCTAAATGTCTAAATGGGGATATTTTCTATAATACTAATTTCGTGGATGGTGACTCTCAGTGGATTCCAGAATGAGCATTTCGTCCTTTTTGTGAATCATCATCTGGATGCACCTGCATTCCTCAGTAACTCATAGTGTTCCCACTGAGACTATAACCCGGTTTCAGAACCCAATCGCTTCCAAAAACAAAGCATTATCGACTAGACCAATTGGACCACGCGGGTCACAGCGAGCCGGTATATTAATACAGGTCGAACACTTCGGTCCCACCAATCAACAGGAGATTTCAAACTGAATTAAATACACCAATACTAACCTGAATTATTACGTTCGTTATTAGACATCCGTTTAATGCCTTTCTCTAAACGTTTTTCAAAGCTTTCTATATCATCTATACACTTGTTGAGCATATAAAAATTTCGTCCACTTTTCAAGTTTGTAGGAACTATTTTCTAAAAATTAAAATAAATACAAGACAATATTTAAACAAACAAATAAATAAAGGAGAAATTTATTGCAATAAAATTTATAAAAATAAATTAAGTAATGGTCTATGAGCCCGCCTTGTAACTAGAAGGTCCTGGGTTCGAACCCTGGCGATGGGTGATGAAGAGTGGCAAACTAGAACGAAACAGCTGTCCAATACTCCTAGATTTTCAAATGGTTCTCTAACCGATATCAGCTCATGATGAAGTACTCCAACCAATCAAATAAATAAGGGTTTTATGGTGTTAATTATCTACGAAAATATATACTCATTTTGTTTTGTACTCAATATGCCTGAAATTATTTTAATAATGTTATTCTATTTTTTTTTTTTGGCTTTTTTGATTACAGCTTGATTCCACAGTGTATTTTTGGTACAGTTATGGAATTTTCAGCATGTAATATCGGTAGCCCAAATTTTGCGGGCCGACCATAGATATCAGGTGTGCGTCGGCAGGGGATCGAACCCAAGACCATGTGCATGGTAGGCGAGAGTCCTAACCACTGTGCCACCGACGCACGTGGCACATGTGTAAAACTGAAAAACCAGTACTCAGAAGACTGTTGTGTCGCTAATTTTCGAACACTGATCGGTAGAAATTCTCATCAGAAGTAGTTTTGACTGTATGAACAACATATTTGATTATATCGTAGTGTGATCATGTGTGCAATTGAGACGCTGATGAAATGTATTCAGTTTCTTTCCTGAAAATCTTATTCAGAATACAACACCCTGAAAGAAATGCACATACTGATGAGAACAATGAAGTGAATATAAGTCAGTTTCAACTACAGACGGAACGGATGAAAATGTCAATGTAGGTCAGTTTCGGAAAGGCAAGATACGCCTTCATCAACCTGAAACCAGTTTGGAAATCTTTAGCTCTTAGCATAAGGAAACAAGATTCGTATTTTTAACACCACTGTCAAGTCGGTTCTTATATATGGGTGAGAAACATGCACAGTGAGTGTGTCACGAAAGGGATTTCCAACAACCTATTGCAGACTTTCATCAACAGTTGAAACTTCACTGGCTGGCTCCATACTAAAGATCAAATGGCCAGAAAAAACTAGTAACAAGAAAATGTTGGAACAAACCGACTGAGAGCCGATCGCTTAACAAATATGTTGGAGAAAATGAAGATGGACTGACCAGGCATACGTTGAGGAAGCTGTCGAATAACATTGCGCGCAATGCAGACCATTTCTCGAGTGGAATCCCATTGAAAGGCCAAGAATGGGTCGTCAGTGCGAGGGTGGCATGTAGGAGATTATGTGGTGAGAAGGAAATGAGAGGTTATGGTCAATCGTGAACTCAGCTGAAGAGGACAGCAGCAAATAGAACAAACTGGATATGAATTGTTGAAGCCCTATGTGCCATTCCGAACTCAAGGGAATAATAATATAATAATAATAATTTATATCGACTGTTTCTCAAATTTTGGACCCAATGTATACATAAATTGAAGAACAATTACAATTTTTGAAGTAGAAAGTTTGACTGCAACCCGTTTTTATCATAAATTACTCTAAAATTATGTGCGTTCATAGTTAATGATTTTAGTGAATGTCAAAAATTGCTTTGTAAGTTTGGACAGAAGAGAAGAAGTTGTCATAACAGACAGTCTAAGTGGATATATTAATCTTATGAAAACTCAGTGAAGCCTTTGAAGTGAAGACAGGGTGAGGTAAGGCTGATCCTACCACCACTGATGAACTTCCTATTATGGTGGACTGGATTATGTGGAACATCATACGTGGGGAGCGAGAAGACAAGAATATGTTGGACAGGTAAGAAGATTGTAGAAGATCTGAACTTCTCCAAAGATTTATGTCTAATGGCACATCAATTCAAAGACTTACAGTCTAAAACCAACAATCTAAAAGAAGAAGCAGTCAACGAAGACAGGACTTCAAGTGAACATAGACAAGATAATCAACCAACAACAAACACTAATCACTATGAGCAGACTAAATTTAGATAGGGTTACTTCCTTCACTTATTTACGTAGCATCGTTTCAACCAGAGGTGATACAGAAGAGGATGTTAAACCAGAATCGGAGATGCAAGGCAGACATTCACACAGATATCTGCTGGACTCAGCAGCAGATAATAAGATTTGGATTTTCAACACTAATATTCTTCTGTATTTCGAACAGGCTTCAGACTCATGTCAACAGCTGCCGTCGTTGGCTCCATAATGAAGGTCAGTAGGACAGAAAGGGTTAGAGACATGGAACTCTGATAATCAGCGAACCAAAAATGAACCTATTGCTCAGCAAATATTTCGAAGAAAATAGAGGTTGATCGGACACATAGACACTGAGAAGACCGTAAGGTGACATCGCGCCACAGGCCAGAATGGGTGTAGTTTCCAGGCTGATATGGCGGAGATCGTGGGGGACTTTGATGACAGCTTATTGGGGATTATGGAGGACTGCTGAGAACATTGTGGATTGGGAATGTTCTGTTGAATTCCAGTGTCTCACAGGGAACGCGAGGAAATGTAAATAGATAATATGAAGAAGAAGACTTAAATAACACGAGTGTATCACGCAAATGTTAACCGATGTTTTTATTAGGGGAAAATACGGAGAATGTATACCTTAAGTATATATACACTAAAAATGATTGAAACTCAGAAAATACTAGCTTGTCTACAGCTAAATTTGTTTGCCCTGAAAGACTTCAGAAAGACATCCAAATACAAGGTGAATAGATAGACACAGAAACGAACAGTTGTAAATGTTAGACGAGAAAGAATAATCAAAAAGAGATTAGTAACGCTTCCGAAGTTGAGTGAAAACACATTGGCATAATGTCAACGACCAATCGTTTCCAATTGGCAATTGCCAGTATTGCTAGCTTCCTTTTGAAACAGCCTTGATGTCCACACATACCTCAAACCACTAGTCAAAGAATTTATATTGGTATATTTATTATATTTATATTTATTTATTATAATTATTTCAACGTGTTTAACCACTTGGAGTGATTAACATATGCGCCATGATGAAACTTTAAGTGATCTACCTTGTCTTGTTTCCGCCTAAAGTGTATTTTGCAACCGGCAATTCGATATATATGCATATGTCATTCACTCTGCAATTGGAAATCTGTAACTACCTTTGGAAAATTATGAAGACATTTTAAAAAGTAAAAATGTGGAAAAATAAATTGTTAAGTCTGATGTAAATTAACGAAAACAAAACACGTAGTTGAGCGAAGAGGTTATTTTCGGTGAATTCATTTGCTTTAGCTAGAGCCAGGTATATTGATGCTTTGATACGTATCCGGTCTTAAAGATTTCAAGAACAGTCTCCCTCATGATTTCAGAAAGGCAACAGTAGCTCTTTAAACAGTGCAATAATCGAACACCTTGTCAACACTGGTCATTTTATTGACTGGACACTAGTAACTAGTGTAATGTGTCTAATCCTTTCTGACTGATAGAATTCAGTTTATACCAAAACAAAGGATTAGACACATCATACTAGTTACTAGTGTCCAATCGTAGTATCCACTACCGTCCTACAGGAGGTCATTCACGAACCCGAATAGCTCAATGGTAACGTCTCTGACTGCAGCACTAGGTGACGTCGGTTCGAATCTCATAAGGGACATAAACTCCTTCAAGATTTCAGATACGCCTTACTGACTGCTGAGTGCCAACTAGCACCAAAATCTAGGTCAAGCAAGTCTTCCTGTGCCCGACTGCCTCCAACCATTTAATATCACTGGTAATTTCATCCCAAAAAACTCAGTCTTCAAAGTAAATGACACAGTGAAGAATCACTTGACGAAGGCAATAAGCTTTCGTCCCAATTGCATTGCTGAAGCTGTAGCCATTCAGACAGGAAAAATTATTCAACCAATTATATTATTATCATGATAAAAATCTTGTTGATTTCTATTAATTTGATTTTTATTTGTTTACTTTTCTAACTTCTTATAGCCCTTGTATTTCTCTAGAACTCTTACAGGATTCTAAATTTCCCTTCGTTTCTATGAGCATACTGATTACAACTCATTCACGTAACTCTAACACGCTTATTTAACTCCTCTTAAGCATTGACTAATATTAACAACAGCTATGATTATGACAACACATCACGTCTGTTAGTACCCTCTTTCGTGGAGAAATTGTATATATAAACGAGATTGTACAGCCAAAGGTGAAAATGAGTTCACCGAAAAGAGCCTTTTCTTTGAAGTACTTGTTTTGTTTTGATCAATGTCTGAATGGGGCCATTGTTATTTATATGCACATTATTATTATTATTACCTATTTTACTCCTTTGCGTTCCCATTGGGACATAGGACTTCAAGCTAGAGCTTTGAAGTTTCGGTAGCAGTGGTCTTATTTTTACAGGGTGGGACTGTTAGTCTTACACCCAACCTTCCCTCTTTGCCGGGATTATTATTATTATTTATGAAAGGTTTTTTTGGAATGCGTCGACCGGGGATCGAACACCGAAACATCTGAGTGGCTCGCAAGCATTCTACTTCTGACCCACTGACGCATACATATATATACATATGTGGCTATACCAGCGAATGCCATAAAACTACTTATCGCATAATTTTAAAACAGGAGCTGGTGAAAAAAAAACACGACTTTCGATGAAAAGAGGTGGAGTAAGTTATTATCTGCTTAAAAAGGGAAACTCTTAAATGGATGCAAACAATTCCAACTTTCAACTTCTTACATTTGCAATAGTGATGATGAGTGTGATTAAATTTAATTAATATTTTCTGACTTTCTTTTTTATAAGTACAGCAAGATGTAACAATCAGCCATTGAGTTGGTCATTGCCAGTTACCCTCCTTGTTGTGGGTGTAAATCATTTTTAATCTTTGTTGCACCACCTCTGTGGCAGTGAAATATAATAAATGACAGGCTTGTTCTATATATATATATATATATATATATATATATATATATATATATATATATATATATAT